GCCTCCCTGAAGAACTTCTTCCGCACGGTGCTGCTGTCGTAGTCGTACTTCTGCGGGGCGAGCGAGGGGTAGCCCCGGGTCAACACGGGCAGCAGCCCTGCCCGTGGGCACAGTCCCCTGCGGTTGGTCACCCCCCCACCCATTTGCTCGGGCACGAGCAGCTCCCTCTGCCCCTCACATCCTTCCCTCCAGCCAGTTTCCAAGCCCAGGTAGGAGCCAGCTCCCTCACTGCTCTTCCAGAGAGGGTTTGGGGCTAGTTTGAATCCAGGGTGGCTTATGATGCGTGTGGTGAGAGGGGACCTGGCTCCTTCAGTGGTTTCCCCCCTCACTGCCCCACACCCCTGCAAAATGCATACAAGTCTCAACATAAAGAAATATAGAATCATAGAATCACAGAACGGTTTGGGTGGGAAGGGACCTTAAAGATCATCCAGTTCCAACCCCCCTGCCATGGGCAGGGACACCTTCCACTAGACCAGGTTGCTCCAAGCCTCATCCAGCCTGGCCTTGAAGACATCCAGGGATGGGGCATCCACAGCTTCTCTGGGCAACCTGTTCCAGTGCCTCCCCACCCTCTCTGGGTAGAATTTCTTCCCGATATCTAATCTAAACCTCCCTGTTTTCAATTTATACCCATTACCCCTTGTCCTGTCACTACAGGCTCTTGTAAAAAGTCCTCTCCCAGCACCCTTGTAGGCCCCCTTCAGATACTGGAAAGCTGCAATGAGGGCTCCTCAGAGCCTCCTCTTCTCCAGGCTGAACAAGCCCAATTCTTGCAGCCTTTCATCATAGGAGAGATGCTCCAGCCCTCTGAGCATCTTCGTGGCCTCCTCTGGACTCGCTCCAAGTGGTCAATATCCTTCTGATGTTGAGGGCTCCACAGCTGGACGCAGCACTCCAGGTGGGGTCTCACCAGAGCAGAGTACAGGGGCAGAATCCCCTCTCTCGACCTGCTGGCCACACTTCTCTGGAGACTTCTATTTCCCCAGAAGACTCTGTTGCAATCAATAAAGTCACTTCTGTCCTCTTCCCCAGGCTCCTGACCCTTGGAGTGAGACCACCAAAGCCCCCGACCCGCCACCCCTCACCTTGAGCACCCTCTCGAGGATGCGCTGGATGGACTTGCAC